TATCCTGCTCTTAGAGGATCCACTTACACATGCATGGATTACAGTGAATAAAAGACAAAAGGCGAAGTCACATCCCCGACAACAGTCTCACCAAGGAGCAGGTGAAAACTCGTGCAGGTTTAATAACCACTGTCACATATAGCAGAGGGAATTACAGCGACCTTACTGCTCTGCTGAGAGTAAGAAAATCACAATGTGAATAGTCAGAACATTCAGTCTTTATCCTGCTTAATTTAAAATAACATAAGTTATTAAAGTTTTACTAATACGAGCCCTGACATGTATTTTTTCTGTGGTTGAATTTATTCCAAAACATTTCATACCAGTTTTTATAAGAGGCAATGACAGAAAAAGCTTTCTAACAAGCCACCCTTTATAAAACCCTAAAACACCTACGAGGAATGTGTCTTGGTGGTGCATTTGTGCATAAAATATACAAATATACAAATCACACAAAAATCACACAGAAAAATAAAGTACGTTTTAAAAGGTTTACAGGTTGGAACTAATGCCTTCATTAAAGGTTAATAAAACATTCAGTTATCTGGTTATTAACCATTAAAAAGAAGAAATTTTGGATTGCCAGACCGTCTGACCACTTATCTTATAACTGCTATCAATATATTAACACTCACAACTGCAGACCTGATGATTAAAACCCCTCTATTAATGACTTATTAACATTTTTGTAAGAGCAGACTTAATTAGAAACTTAATTACAAAGTGAGCTTTCGTTAAAGGATTAACATGAACATTTATTACTGCATTATTACTAAATAGTAATTTTTCACAACTTGGCAACACAATAGTTATTCTTATTACTTGAGATGGATCATAACAAATATATAAAGCATTAATATTATTAAATTAATAATCAACCATTAAGAAAGTTACAATTTATAAACACTTATAAGCAATAATGTAAATTTTACTGTAGGATTCAGCCTCAAAAACTAATAAAATGATCCAATAACCTGCTGCTATTCAAATAAAACTGAATTGAATTGAAGAAATGGGAGTGAAAATATGTCTTGTTGAAACTTTTAAGCTAAAATTGAACAAAAATTAAGGTATTGAGAATATTCAGAAAACGCTCCACATTTCCCAACAGATTTAGTTTAATAATCACATAAAACAAAGAAAAGCATCAAATCATCACAACTGAGAAACTGAAAGTAGGAATCATTTCCCATGTTTGCTTGAAAAATGACCACTCAATGTTCTATTTAATAGACTAATAAACTATTAACTAATAATTTCAGCTCTATTCTTGATGCACCTGTTGTTTCATCAATGAAATATTTAGAAAAACTGTTTGAATTAGAGGAAACTGTGGGGCAGTTGAAGGGTGGAGGGGGCAATTCATTGTCTTCTTTCTTTTTTTGAGAGGTTTTTTTGTTAATGTCTCCTGTTTAACAGATGCTTCAGAAAGCGAACCCCCCTTATGTTCAGTCTTTCTTTAATTACTTATCAATAGTGGAAATTTGTATTGACAAGAGCCTGTCAGGAGGGGACCTTTGTAGTTGTCAGTTATCTCAAAGGAAGGCGCCCCCACCTCCTCCTCTCCTCCTTAGACACCAACTGGATCGATCGGCATGCAAAACACAATTGAGAGGCCTTTTGGGGCCGCGGTGATAGTCCGGGAGCATGTGGGCCGAAGACGGGAGAGCAGGCGGAGGAGCTAAAGACTTCTTCATCGTAGGAATCGATAGGGCCGGCTGGCCTTTGACCTGAGGGAGACAGAGAGAGCGGGCGGCGGGTCAGCCGGTCTTCTTAAGCCCCTCTGAGTGCCAGGATCACGCTGTGAGGCCTGACACTGGCTATGACACACTCAGGGCTTAGAGTGACATTGACCCGGTTGCAAACACACCAAGTACACAAAAAGAAATCTCAAATATACACACACAGATAGAAAGGCTTCCCTTCAGAGCCGAATTTAAATGAGAAAAAAATCATGTGACGCCAGCTAGAAGCTTTAAAGGGAACAAAACGATCCATCATTCTGATTTTATTGATCGAACACGAAGAGCTGCAACTCTGAGAAATACATTAGACTCTAATGATTCCCTCTTTTATTAGACCTAGAGACTTAATACCTTCCAATTAGCTTCTTATGATCTCCTGTGCAGCCCTTGGGAGCATGGCAATAAGCAGCTACAGCAGCAGATCAATATTAGGGGACTGAGTAAAGATCAGTCTCTTAATTGGGGTGCTATAGGTTACAGACAGAGCGAGAGGGGCAGGCAGGCAGCTGTGTGGGTGTCCTGCAGGTCAAGGGCACACACAGTGGGCTAGACTGGGGTGCAAGGGGTGAGCTCAAGTCCAACAGAGAGAGAAAACAAACCTCTTTAAGCCGCCATCTTCTCAGCGCCATCCTTTAAAGGCCCGGTGATACCACAAACTGTGTACACAAAGACTTCTGAGATGAGCAAGTTTCATCCGAACTGAAGAGGAATGAAGGTACACAGCAAGAGAAAAGGAGAGGAGTGAGAACATTTAATACTAAATATGACGACATTCAATGGTGCGAAGAACTGATGCTGCCTGAGGAAGAGCAACACACTCGAGCACATTTAGCATTTTAAAATGTTCTCACTTTTCTGGATTCTTTCTTTGTTTTATGTAATAGTAAACAGAATATTTTTGGGTTTGGAGTTTGATGGTTGGACAAAATAAGACACTTTTGGTTCTGGTGGGCATTTTAGACTTTTTTCTGACATTGTTTAGACAAAACAGTTAATCAAAGAATTAATTGAGACTAAAAACCTGAATACCACGAGCAGTAGATTCAGGATTAGGGCTGGAACTAATTATTCTTTCCATTATTGATTGTTTAGTCTTAAAAAAGTCAGAAAATGGTCCAAGGTGATGCCTTCAAATGTCTCATTTCGTCCAATTAAGTCCAAAACCTAAATATATTCAATTTATAATAACAGAAGACCAAGAAAACCAGCAAATATTCACATTTGGAACCAGATCAGAGGCTGAAGCCGGTGAACGATTCAGCCTTTTGACTTATCGATCATCAAAATAGTCGTTTTTAAGTTTTCTATAGATCGACTAATCAATTAATTGACTAATTGTTTCAGTCTATTCAGGATGCAGGCAGTAAAGTGTCTCCTTTGCTCTGGCCCTCGAAGAGATAATGCAAGCTCTCCATCCCTCAGCATGGGGTCAGTTTTCGGAGCCCCCGGCTCACAGCTTCCCCCCTCGTGACCCCCCACTAGTCAAAGGTGATCACGGGAGAGAGAGAAAGAGAGAGGCACTGATCGAATTTGATAATGAAGACGACCCCTCTAAGCTGCTTTGCTCCACATGTTCAAAATCTCTGCAACACTCAATAAACACTAGGAAGCCCCCCTCCCTGTCACTGGAACATTGTGTAGGTATTGATCCCAGCTAACTGGCTCTTTTAATACCTGGGGTCTGCGGGCCTGGGGAAATGCATACTGACATGTGACGGGAGGAGCTTAACAGGCAAACACACCGAAGAAAGGATGGGCCTCTCAGTTTAGCATTTCTCTCCCATTTTTTCCAAATTACACATCTGCTGAAGAAAGGAGAATTACATCCACTGCACCTGCTGTTAAAGGGACATATAGGCTTGCAAGAGGCCCGGCACTGTACCGAGAATAAAAAGCTGTCACACTGTCAAAAACTATTTGTGCAGCAAAGGTGGAAGAGGTATGTTCACATCTCTTACTGAAGCACAAAAGTAGTGATAAAGCAGTGTAGAAATACTCCTGTAACGAGTGAAAGTCCCGAAATGATCAGTATCGTCAGCAAAATGTTAGAAAGTGTTAAAAGTTTTATTAATTTCAAGTTAATTCATCTTTAAATTTCTAGATATGAGTTGAATGAACCTACAGCTGTTTTCAGACTTCCCAGCATGCATTGTTTAAGAGTTAAACTTCACCAGAGAGAAAAGAGAAAAGTAGTTTGATGGAAAACATACATGAAGGAACTTTTCTGTCTTTAATAAATGTAAATATGAGTCATTTGTTTCTTTTCACACAGTGGAGGTAAGTTCAGTCCCTACGTCCCTCGAACATTTTAACAAACCCACAGAAAGCAGCGTCACATAACTGTGAACTTAAGGGCTCAACTACAAGTTCTTCTATCAGTGAATAAAGAAAGGACGCTTCAAACTGAGAAAATGTAAAACTAATACTGAACTCACAACTCATAAGATGGCTTTAAACTAATTATTCAGTTTAACTCACATTTCAAAGGCAGCAGGGGAACTTATAACTACAGCTGTCAGATACATGTAGGAACAATATTTGCCTCTCAAAGTATAAAGTAGCATAAAATGGAAGAGCTAAAGTAGAAATTTAGGAATACACAATTTGTGTGATTGTCGGTTGATTAGATAACCGACAATTTCACATTTTTGGCATTTTAAGAAGGAGTTCATAACCTGGAGTTTATACACACCTAAGAGGGTGAGAAAGGGTCAAATGTAGTATGTAATAGTGACTCACTACTGTTAACACAACGAAAACAAAGAACAGATGTGACTTTTAAAGCGTTCATTTATTTTTTCTAGTAACATTAAAAAACTTCACAAACATACTTTGACTTTCATAGAACATAAAGCGTATCAACATTTTCCATGAGAATTCAAAATATTATTACTTTTATTAGATGAACTGTACTCTACTTATAGCGCCTTTCTATACTGCCAACCACTACATGTCACACACAGCATCTGGATCCATTTGGGGTTCAGCGTCTTGCCCAAGGACACTTGGACATGCAGCGGGAGGAGCCGGGGATTTAATCCACTATACCGTCTGATTTGTGGACGACCCACTCCACCTCCTGAGCCACTTCGCTATAATTTAATTATCAGAATAATACATAATAATAAGACTTTCCTCATTATCGGGGCTGATAATTATCGTGCGTCCCTCGTTTCAAACATCTCTAAACTTACATTCCACCACTGTTGTGCAGGTTCGGGACTGTTGAGACGTAAAAGATAACAAGAGCAACAATTTCTTTTAACTAATACCTTTTAATAGAAAAAGATAAACAACCAAAAAATGAACAAATACAAAAAGGAAACTGCTTACAGCGTATTTACAGCACTCGAGTATGTTTTCAGTCACTTCCAACGTAAAACAGCACAGGTTAGCTGGTACTGACTAAATGATAAACTGTGTGTAATTAATAACCCGGGCCTAATTCAACAGAACTGAACCTAATTTTGTTCTTATGGAGGAATAACATACCTGCTATCACAATGATTCCTGGTTTTATTACATGCAGTGCACAGAGACAGTGGTAGATATAGTCAGTATTTTTTTGTCCGAACTATGAAATACAGTGATATTTTCTATCAACTATAGCAAATAGGTAGCAGCAGAAACTTTTCCGCCGAGGGTATTTTTATTATGATCAAGTATTATAGGATTAGTCAGGTTTTTGAGAGCCAACCAACAACGCGATAATAAACCGCACCATAAACAGAGATCAGTGACGGGAAAATGAGGTGCAGTGTAAAAAAACAACAACACAGAAGTGCATTTACATAGCAAATGTTCGACAGACTAAGACATCAATGCACTTAAGTGTAACTAAGTAACGTGTTATTCATTATAAGTGAATTCTTTATAACACAGATGAGGTACTCAGACTTGGGCCCTATACAACAAGAGCGTTTCTATAGTGCAATTTAGGCTGAAGATTCAACCTGGCATGAATATCATATTAATCATTATCGTTCAGCGGACAATGCCCTGGCATTTTAAGTAGTTCTATAGAAAGGTGTTTTTTTATTCATAAAGTGTTTGAGAAAACAGAAATACATTTGAACTAACATTATTTAGAACTGAAATACCAATAAGCAAAGTAAATCACTGTTAATTTAGGCTCCTATTGCTTTGAAGGGACTGGCAGTTCTCTCATTCAGTCCGTTAGGCAGCAACAACAGTCGGCTCTTCTCGGGCTTCTTCTGCTGAAAACTTCCACCTTTGCTGAACCGTCCCGCCCTCCCCCCCGACACTCTGACCTTAACTCTCTGAGAGCAGGTGCAGGCTCCCTGCAGCCACGTGAAGGCAGGAAGTTGAACTGAAGACAGTGGGAGCAGAGGGGTCAGAGGTCATCTTTTAACCTTTGCATCCTCCTTGATCTTCCAAAACATCAGCTCCATGCAGGCGGACGCATCTTCGCTCGAGTCGTGGCCCTCCACTGGAAATAAATCACAGAAATTATTATTTTTTTACATCTTACATAGTGTTACTTTAATACAGATCTGTAGTAATCTGGAAACAGAAGACTCATTAAAAAGAAGGTTGTGTTGATGTTGTGAAGGATGTTTAAACAGTGTAACAAGACTGTGCTTTGAGCTAAAAGGTAACATCAGGTTGCTAACATGCTGATGTTAACCAGGTATAATGTTTACCACTATCTTAGTTTAGCTCGATAACAAGCTAACATTTCATAATTAAACACTAAATTATTTTTAAATCAAGCACTAAACACAAAGTACAGTACAGCTGATGGGAATGTCATTAGTTGTGCAGCTATTTCTCATTAAAAAAAAACTAAATGAAAAGTCAATTCATCTTTCATCCATCCAAAACCATAAATAACCTCATCATGGTGCTAGAGGAGAAGTCAGGGGATCATCATCATCTGTGCACCATGAATGTAAACAGTTGAATAGGAATCCAAACAAGAGATATTTCAATCTGGACCAAAGTGGTGGTCCAACCAACCAACTGACCAACACTGCCCTCCCTAGGGTCAAAGCTTCATACCACCAGCTTATGTCACTATAAAGGTCGAAGGATATGAGATACATGATATATGGAGAGGTAGAGATGAGAAACAACGTAAACACTGTAAGTTTCTCAAACGGAAACTGCATCTTGAGGAATCTTTGAAACCTTTCTGTAGACCTCAATATTTCACAGACACACATAAGCAACGAGGCTTTCATTAAACTGTCATATAAACACTTCACACAGTGTGCATGAGAGACATCTGCTGGTGACGTAGATATAGTGCAGACAAATTAAAGCAGACTGACCTAATGGACTGCATTAATATCACATATCACATTTACAACGTCACTATTATTGACCTGTAAGAATCCTACCAACTGTTACGTTTCCCACCTACAGCTCCTAAAGTTTCTTTATTTTTTGCCCGTTTCTCGTGGGAACTGTGTCTGCTGTGGGTCTATAAAGCCCATTCAAACATTAAACACGTGTATACTGGACTTAACTAATACTAAAACTGACTTCAACTGACAGTAATTTCTGGTTCTGTGGGTTATGCTTCAGTGAAATATGCTCAACCGATAAAGATTAACCGATGCTGACTGATAAATTTACTCTTCATTTGTTTGCATGGAATTTGACACGAGTTGGTTGCAAACAGATTATGTGATTATGCTTTAGGGTGTAAATGTGCTCTGGATACAGAGGAGAGGGCCTGTTTGTGCAGGTTGGGCCATGTTAATGTGAGAGGGGATTATGTATGTGTAATGGGGATGAAACCCTGTTAAGATTTTATCCTAAAGGCACAAAAAACACAATTTTTCCACAGTATTGGGACCTAAATGACTCTGAATTTGCTAAGATTACCAAGTTTACTTATAATTTCATAATTCATGAAAACATGACTATGTCAACACAAACATTGTAACAACTCTTATCATAAAGCAACAGTATAACTTCTGTGTGACTGTCTCACCGTTGTCCTGGATGATGCGTTTGAGGTGGTCGGCCATCAGGTTCCTCAAGGCACGTTTGTACGGCAAGCCGAGACGGTGAGGGAACACAATGGCCGTGTCTACGACTGAACTGTGGATTAGCTGGAGGCAAGACAGACAGAAAGACAGACAGAGACAGAGAGAGAGAGACAGGAAGAGTATTACAGCATTTGTTTTATTTCAGCTCAACAACAGAAACTCAGTGTCAGTGTCTGGCGCTACGGGCCAATGTAATGAATGAATGTAACTGAATATCACTGTTTAACACTGTTTCACAATCTTTTACCCCACAGCTCTGCTCGACTCTAACATATTTGGGGACTCTGAATACTCTGGGAAGACTTCCTTGTATGTGCTGGGTTTCAGTTTTCAGTCATTAGAACTTAGAAAAGTTACTGAATCACTGTTTGTTAACGAAGTGATTGCCCATTTTGGCTGATAAAGTTAAATAATTAACTAAAGCCTAAACATTCAAGTATATATTTGACTTTTCTTTTAGTTACTGTACAATTATTGAAACCACACTTCACTTGTTTACTGGTTGCAGCGAAAGAGAAACGTCTTATTGTGATAGTGAGAGCTTGAGAGAGAGACAGGAGGACAGAAGACAGACGGAGGGAAGGACAATTATGTTTACCAATTAGGTAACTTTGTAATATTTGTTGTAATATTTTATTTTGAATGATAATTTCTGTAAATAAATGTATTTTTGAGCTAATGGTATATTAATAAGACAATAAAACCCTCCTCTGTGTCTCAGCTACACATTTTATATTCTTACAATTAAAATCTCGTGTAATACATGCTTAAGTATGAACCATGCTAACTTAATCAATTTCAACAATTAATGTTTTTTTTATTTGTCAAGTGAAGAGATAATAAAAGTGTGTCACCGATGTAGCACCGGTTTCACTTTTCTGTCTGATATGAATTGTTTACATACCGTTGCAAAGCTAAAACAACTGCTGCAACTCATTAGTTTCTTGTGCAATAGAAACACTGAAAATATTTCTTTGAATACTTAAATACTTTGAGTATTTTATGTCAGTTTATACAAATATTTAAAAGTAAAAGTTGTTTGCACATTAAACCTTCTGCAACTCTTCCATGCATTTCGATTCCTTTGTGTATTGTATCATTTTGTGGGGTTAAGAAAACCCTACAGTAATCAAAGCCTTCAGTATACACAGATCAGGTACTGACCACTGTAGACTGGGAACACTCCACAAGAGCTACAGTTTTGGAGATGCTCTGACTCAGTTGTCTATTTAACCCTTGTCAAAGTCGCTCAAATCCTCACGCTGCACATTTTGCTTCTAACACATCAACTGTGAGGACAAAATGTTTATTAATGCCTAATAAATCCCACCCACTGACAGGAGCCATGATAACCAGATAATCAGTGTTATTCACTTCACCTGTCAGTATGTATACATGATGGCATTACAATGTTTTTATGCACTACGTACTCCCTGCCAGTAGAATAAGACACTATAAACCTATATAAAGACCCAGTCTTGAAAGGGTAAAGCTACTGTTGTATGAAGAGCCGCGGTACCTTCAGAGCGAGCAGGTCGCTCTCCAGACTGTGTCCTATGAGGATGGATTCAGCACTGAACATACTGAGCAGCACGGCCTGAACGTCTCTCAGGCTGATGGTGGCGTTCTCCAAGTCCTCCTCCGTCACACCTGAAAATCTGAGAGACATATGTATACACATATATTTACTGCTTTTACAAGACTGCGACTGTTTCAAAGACAAACTTGAGACAGCTCGAGAATTATTTTCATTACCAGTTACCGGAGAAGCTCACCGTGTGTTGTAATCAACCACTTTGCTTTCAGGTTTGACAAACGTATCGTAGATGACTTTCAACTCAGAATTGATGACCGTCACCCTCGTCAGATCCAGGCCCTGCCTTGTGTAACACTGTTTCACAAGAGAGAGAAAACAAGCTCACGTGACCTCGAATGCAAAATATAACAGGAGTTTAGAATCAGGACATAAAGTACAGAAACTGTACAGTAAAAAGTGACAAATCTTCTCTTAATCTTACTCATTTTGTAACAAAATGACGAGCACTGATTGACTTTGCTTGTCCCATTTGTATTTAACTGGTCTATAATAAATCAAATCTAAAATCAAAAACACACACACACACGCACATAAGATGGCAGGAAAAGAGGTCTGTCTGACTCACCATCTCACAGTCCAAAGCAAACACCCCTCCATTGCCATCAGGTGGGAGAGATTTACTGAACGTTGAGACGTAACCGTCTAATGACTCTTTACGTCCGTCCTGAACATGTTGCTGTGGGAATATAAAAGGTTTTTTAGGTCTGGGGATGTTTATCAAAAATGTTTTTGTTGTTATCCTGCAGTAAAAAGACACAGCTGAGCATGTATAATTACACAAAACACTGAATTCTGATATTAACACATGCCAGTAAACCTGTTCCTGAAAAAAAAATATATCCATGGTACTATAATTTATAATTTACAGTCTTTCTCTATCAGTGTGTCTTATATTTGAAGGAACTTTTTCTTTCAAAATGCTCCATTATATGTCAAAACCAACCTGCTAAGTCATGACAACTCATATATTTGACTTCTTAAGATAAAAAGAAGAAAAACTAGTATGACTGCTATTACTGTTGTATGGGCTGGCTCAATTTAAACCCTTTGTCAGAGTCAAAGTGGGACAGGTCATGATTGTGCTATCCTGGGGAGAAAAGCAGAGAAGAAGTAGCAGGTTCCCATTTCTGTATCACGCTCATTATGCCGATTACGCTGTATCAGATGGGCCCACAGATAGGCGTACACGTCGATACCTGACACATTTAGGCAGTATCAGATGAATTTCTGACACTGATATAAAAAAAAAGAATAATTTTTGGCTTTAAAAGGATGATACCTTGGCAACTTGGCAACCTGGAGCGCCCACGGCCGCAGCACAGCAGCTATAGTTGGTCTCCCACCCTCCAGCGACTGACAGGACAAAGAAAGAGCCGGACAAAGAGAGAGACAGAGGAAATAGGGGGTGGAGAGTGAGTGAGAGTTGGCAGTGCTCATTATAAAACAAAAATACTAAAGTGTGCATTCATAACACTGATGTTTATTGATGATTTACACTAAATAAACGCAAACAAACTCACCTTTATGTCTGCGTAATCGTCCCCAATGGAAGCTACATTCCTCTCTCCGTATACAGTTGCCGTTGGCGTTGATCTTGTACTCCGCTCCACATCGACAGCATACCTTGTTGAATGCTGGAAACACATAACAGAGGAACAGCTGAACGTCATGTAACTGCTGGACCACATAAACTAATGTTTATATAGTTGAGTTCTGCACATTAGAAAGAGAACTGTGGGCCCACTCACGGTCTGCAATGGCCTTTTTCTCTGGGAGGTTGTATATGATGGCTTTGCCGGCAGCGTCTGGGTTTATTCTCGGGTATCCGTGCTCCTGGAGCTGCTCCTCCGTCATCATGTACGTCTTCAGCTTCCTGTACAGTGTCGCTCCTACAGTGAGACAGAGTGAACAAGTGAAACAAACGTTGTCTTTGTACAACAAGGTTATATCTGAAAATGTGAAGGAACAGAAATAGAAGATGGATTTATAAGGTTTGTACAGACGTAACCACTGTGAAATAAATTCTGATTCACCGGTTTTCTCACTACTGGCACTCTCTCCCTGTCATGTCGCTCGACCACAGCTGTCCCTCTGCCTCTCTCACACTCCAAAACATAAACCAAAGGAAGCTTCTTTGATCACTATTTTGCAGCATAGACTGCAGCCAGACACAGACACTGAAGCTGGGTACATGAAATACACACAACTGGGAGTAAATCATAGTTTGATGGATGAACTCCTGGATACTGGATAGAGTCTGTTTCAGTGATTACAGGCTGACTATGGAGCAGTTTGACCACTGTGATTGACACACTGGCCACTGCAGCGTGACGTCGGTTTCTCCAAAAGTTGTTTCTGTTTCTGTCTGAATCGGCCCAAAGAGTTACAGACTGGTTTCTAAAACCATCAAGTCACCCTGCTGCTCTTCCCTTGTAGCACGCTCCTGCTATACAACGACAAAATCAAATTAAGTTTAATAATCTGGGGTCTTCAGATTGTATTCAACCTATAAATTGTGAATTAATCACAAACTGATGTTGTCAAAATATTGACCCCGAAAGTTACTAATCCAAAGTTTTCAACAGGGCTGCAACTAATCAGTATTTTTCATCTTCATCGTTGTTCCTTGACTCATCATTTTGTCACAGAACCAAAAGATATCCAGTTTACTTTCATTTTAGCAGAGAAAAACAGCTAATCCTGACACTGAAGAAGGATTCTGCTCCAAAAATGACTTTATCCATTATGACTGATTATCAAAAAAGTTGCTGATTAATTTTGAGTTGATCAACTAATTGTTTCAGCTCCAGTTTTCAATTAATTAATGTAAAGCTGCTGTCATTTACTTGATAAATGACTTAAAAGCATTTATCAATTAATTTCCTGGTAATCCCACAAATCAACTGTTCTTTCATTAATACTACAAGTCTTGTGAACACTGATATCAGGTCATGTGGCAGAGAGTTTGCGGTAAACAGCACCTGAAGGTTGTCACATGGGTATACGAACAGTTTCACTATTACTGTACTGTAAACTGACTCAACACATCACAGAGTGAACAAAAAGTCACAAGTTCATACTTGACACAAAGAATCTTTCAGTTTCTTCACATTTTTCAGTCTTTGATTTTATCAGAGGTATAATCTGCATTTTTATGTTGCCAGGGGCGTTATCAGGTGACCAATGAAAAACAGAACAAGAGGAAAACTGGGAAACATGAAAAGAATAATTCAACTCCAATTCTGGAGAGGAATGAGGACACTGAAAGCATGATACTACTTGTCATCTTGACTGTGGGAGACAAATCTTACTCACCAGAGAGTTTCTCCTCCTGCTGTTTACCCATCCTGTTGACAGTGAAGCTGGTTGTAGCAGCGAGACGACCCCCCAGAACTTCCTCGTGGGACTGTGCCCTCCTGTTGGGGACCGACCCCGGGTCCTCTGCAGAAACACAAACACACAGAGGTTATCACTGAAATTAGGAATTCAAAGGTTCAGGTAAAGAATCCAAACCGTTCGGTTAGCTAGTCTAGTGAATCTATTAGTCAGTTCGTATGAAATAGGCCAAAAAGGAAAACAAATAAAGTGATTGGGAAGGAAAAAGCCTTGTGCTGACAACTCTGTGTAGAGTGTCACTGAGTCTTGGAAATGACAAATGGAGCAGACAGAGCAGTGTACAGACGGGATCATTACGCATTTAAGGTTACCTGTGACGATGATGGAAAAACAGCAGTGGGTAAATGCTCGCCATTTGACTATGTGCAAGCACGGTGCAGCACGTGTGGCTTATGCTAACGGTAATACTTTAAAATTGATGCACCATTTGCACTGACATCAGCCCAGTGTGTCCAGTGGAGGAGAACGTGTGGTAGGAAAGAGCAACTTCTGCTCCCCACAGCATTTAAACAGCCTTCATTTTAAACAGAGAGAGGATTTTAACATATGATGATTTGTTCGTGCTCAGTAGAATTATTATAACTATTATCTTAATTGTGTTTTTGTCTCTTCTGTTATTAGCCAGAATTTTGTTAAGGCAAGCAGTTCTACCAAAAACATACCAAACCAAACCAAAAACCCAAAACTGACCACAGAATACAACAATTACATTACTGTTCAAACACTTTGTTTACATGGGAGGATATAAAGTGAAATGCTATTGTGTGGTGTATCACAATTATCACAACGAACTGTTAACTAGGAGTAAAGACTGTATGTTATGAGGACTGAGGCGACATACTGGTGACCGGTGATGGACAGGAGGTGCTCTTGCTGCGGAGCTTCTTCAGGGTGTTCACAGCCACATTGAGGTAGATGTTCTTACTGTTACTGCGCTCGTACACCAGCTTCTCCTCGTCAAGCGCCTGAAACAGTAAAAGCTCTGTCACCGTCAAAACCACAACTTGTTCAACTCCTCGGCACTGAGAGACGTGGCGTGATTACAGCCTGCGGCGTTTGTGATAACTGGGTGTTATTCATACCATCTGGAAGGCAACGTCCTCTGATGGGCAGAATTTGACACATTCATCTATGAAAGCGTTGAGGTAGCGCTGGCGGACGTTGGTGGGAACTTTGGCCCCGAACTCGGTGGGGATGACAGGGCGCTTCATTGAACTACTCTGAAAGAGTCAAAACAGAAAGAGAACACCGACAGTAAATTAAAGCTTGCACATTAAGCAAACATTTCGCCGTCATGGTTATTCAGAGAGGAAGAGACACAAACACACAAAAACAAACATTCAGCAGTGAGAGATTTTGTGGATACCTTCATGGTGGGTGTGTGTGCCACCCTCCTCTGCATGGCAGTGGACACGGTCTTGGACAAGATGCCGGCGGTGGTTTGGGCCTTGACAGTCTGATGGGTCTGGTTGGGAGACAACACTCGACTGGCCGTTGGTTTAACATCTGCAGGACCTAGTCAGACACACACACACAGTACATTCGACAGTTAATATCACTTTAACATATTAAAAATCGATCAGGGGAAAGCAGAGATATAAAAACAATAAAAACTACAATACAGAGCAGTGAAGGCACTCGTACTTGTTTTGGAGGAAGTCTGTGGGCCGGGACGGTGCGCTATTCTCTTCCTCTCTCCAGAGAAGCTGGAGCTCTGTGAGGCAGCTTTGACTGAAGCAGAAAGCTGAGCAGCTTGCTGCTGTGCCATCTGCATACGCTGGAAGCAGACCTCCTGGGCCGTGAGTCTCCTGTACGGCCGCACCGCAGACTTAGAAGGTGCGTCATTCTGATAAAAACAGAAGCACATTTTATTCAAACAAACACTTAATGTTGATGAATGATGCAGAAATGACAAGGATTAAAGTTATTCTCTGGCTACCTGCACTAGGAATGAATGCAAGATAGTTTTGATGGAAGCACCTGAAATTTGCTGGTTAAGTACCAAGTTGCAATAAACTACCTTCCTGTGAGTCTCCAGTCATTATAATGTGACTGAAAATCAGCTAATGCAAATAGCTAGTGACACAAATGTTACACACTTTGTATGTTGTAACATTTATGTTTTATTTTTAGTGTAACTGGTTATATATGATATATTAATAGGCTTAAATCAGGCTTATATATTCCAATGAACTCAATAAAACTTAAACTACATCTCAAATCTACACAGACAAAAGTATATGCTATAGACAGCGTAGTCCTGGAATATAAGGTGCTGTAAGGCTCTGAGAAAAACACGGTCTGCTGAGATGCTCAGATGGTGTAAATACTGCAACCTGCACCGGTGGAAATCCCCAACGCCACCCCCGCTACACCAGCATTTTCACATTGTTCTGTTAGTTTTTCACTTCCTTGTTTGTTCTAAAGTTCTACTTAAGGCCTCCTAAAAGTACCATTGGCGCTTCCTGTGATGAACTATAACAACGTCACAATGCTCTCCCTACATGCTTTAAGTGACAGGAAGTGAGTTTTAATAGGGTGATGAATGAACTTTGATTGAGGGATGAAAAACTGGTTCTTACCCAAAGGGGTTAGGGGAATAATAATAACTAACATATAATAACTTGATGTACTGAATACTGTCACTTTACCACAGTGTGTTCATTTTGCACATTACATTTTGTATGTAAAAATATCTAAAAACACTGGACCTATGTTGTATTATATTTTGTTGAGTTGTGTACTTACATTATCCCAAATGTTCAAAGTCATTTTATTCCGGTAACGGTTCGTTTCACCAGTCGCCTGTCAATGGCGTCACATCCCCTCTGTGCATGTGTTAGGGTTGTCTGCCAGACGCCGTCATAAACTGACCTTTTATCCATTTTTAAGCCACATTTTTACCATATAATTTTTAGATCTTGGCCGTATTTAACTCCATATTTTAACCAGATGAAGGATTT